GGGGGGGGGGGGTAGAGTGAAGAGGGAAATGGTGGCAGAGAAGTACCTGGGCTGGGTGACCAATTGGCCCTGGGGCTTCAGGGAAAGAGAGGTCTGGAAGAGGACACCTGGGTTTCTGGCCTGATGCTGGTGATAACCCCCAGGGAAGGACCCGGGGAAGGGGAGCAGGCTGGGGTTTGGAGTTCACATGTGGACCTGTGTTTGGTTCATCCCAGCAGTAGGGTCCAGGGGAGAGGTCTGGGCTAGCCCTTGCCCCAGCCCCAGGGAAGGGCACAGCACAAAGTCACTTGTCCTTGCCCTTCCATTCCGAAGCCTGTAGCCTCAACATCCGGGGAGTTTTCTTAATCTTCAGGATGGTGAACTTCCACTCAGTTCCAGTGGCCCCTGGGAAACCTCCTCTGACACGCACCTCCTTTTTCTGTGCTGTCCCTGCTCACAGCAAGTAGCACACTGGATCACATTGTCCCTCTCTTTCCTTTGTTAAGCTGCAAGCATCTTGGTCACTGTCATATCCCCAGGGCCACGCACAAGCTCTGACATATAGAAGACATGCAGCAAGTTTTGGTTGGTTGAGTAAAGAAATTAGTGGGTGTCTGTATGGGTGATCGAATACGTGAAAAAATATTGACCTTCTCTGAGTGATAGAGGGTCCAGGGCCAGTCTCATCAGGTTACTGCCAGCCCATCCATCTGCTGTGACCACCACCACAAGTATCAACACCCTGCCTCAGTTTACCTGCCTTCCCCAGCTGGGTCCATAGGCCAGGACTCCCATTGCTCACAGTTCCACCCTAGACATGGAGAACATCCCCCAGCAAAGACAGCAAGGACCCCCCTCCTTCCCTCTTCCCTGTACCCCATTGGTAACATTTCTCCCTCTGCAAATCCCCACCCCCGCTCCATCCCAACACATGCCCTCCTGGCAACCCTACCAGAGGCCCTAGGGAGGGCCTGGATTTGAATGGCCCTGGAGAGATCTCACCCCTCCTAGGTCCCACCCACTATTTCGAAATCCAGAGCTGACTCTTACCTGAGTCACTCAGGGACCCAGCCCCACCTAGCCCCACCTCTGGAGGCAGCTTCACAGGCAGGCAAGAAAGCTCTGGAATCAACCCAACATCTCTTCTGATTCCAGTCCCCCTATTCCTGACCAGCTCTCAGTGTGACCATGAGCAACCAATTGCTCCTCTTGGGCCTCTGTTTCCCAATCTATGAAATAGAGTCAATTCCATTTTTGCAAGAGTTCCAGTGAGGATGAACCAAGGTGGCCTGTGTGAGCACACTCAGCCTCCAGCAGGAGCTCAGTGCTTTCTTTACCTGCCCTCCCCCTCTTCCCTACCTGAGCAGGAGGGTTTCATGCAAAGCTCTCTTCCCCCTCCTCTTTACCTACTGAGTGCCAGGCTGGGGTTGGGCATGGGTGGTAAGAATAGTAATTGCTAGTATTTCTTGAGCATCTACTACATGCCAGGCAGAATGCTATGTAATTTACATGCAGTATCACATGTAATTACTCAACGGCCCTATAGAGTATTTTCACCTCCAGTTTAAAGAGAAAGGAACCAAGGTCCAGAGCGCTGAAGTGGTTGGCCCAAGGCCACACAACTATCCCTTTTGTTCTGGGACACTAGGTACCCCGTGCCTAAGCCCCAGCACAGCCAGCCAGTGTTTGGAGGAGACAGAAATGCACCGTTAGGGTGGCGGTCAGCCGGCGTGGGGAGTGGGGGTCCAATGTAAACAACAAAATTCAGCTGAGAAGCTAAGGACCGAGAGGCACACAAGATTTTTATATCCCTTTCC